GCTGCTCGCAATCGTTCGCCCGGGACCTGCGGCCAAAAGCAATATAAACCCTGCACCACCAGAGGCCGACGCACCTGTCGCGCTGCTTCGGGCCTAGCAGCCTTGGTCGTGCTTTCACTCCACCTCGCCTGCGTGCCTGCCCTCTGAGCCGCGCCCCAGAGTAATCGAGATCCTGTACTGATCGTCGACGATACGCTTGGAAAACTCCGCCGCCGCCCGCTGCGAGGAATGGGATTCGCACATTCCCCTCTGTCTACCCACAACACCCGCCCGTCATCGCGTCTGTCAGCTCGCCGGTACCGCTTGGACAGCTGAGTGAGATCCGCCCCGGCTGCGCATTCTCCCACTATTCCCGGGCTGCGTTGCTCCCCTCAAAGCACGTCGGTCGAATAGCCTGCGACTCCTCGCAGAGCCATGGTCAAGATGCGGATTCCCATCCGCGAACAGTTGGGATGTCTGGTTCTGCTGGCGTCCATGATAGGCCTGGCCGTCATAGCCGTCGCAACATGGGTATATATCGACGCTGCATACTCGTCCATGCTGGTACTGACTTTGCCAGCTCACCAACCACAACTTCGTGCTCAACATCCGCTCGACTCGCCTGACGCTGACAGCCTCGCTCAAAGCCGCCCAGCTCTCCTCGAATCTGAACTTGATGCAAATCCTCTCCCAGCAGGCTGCGAACCGCCTCTCCCCGCAGGCCGCCCTCAACCGATACTACGACGGCAACACCTCGGACGCGAACTGGGCCCGAGTCGACGAGGACTACGATGCCATCTTCTCTGGTGATATGCGGACCCGTGTGGCTGTCCAGGCCCAGATATACCCCTTCAATTCCTCCGAGCGCTCCGTCTTCCACCGGACCGCACAGAGCATGAGGGACGTTGTGCTGCCCATACTCAAACCCGACGGCACGAATGCGACGCTAGGCGATGACGAGTACGGCTTCATTCCCGAGCTCTACCCCAAGTTCTCTGTCGAGACGATTCCCTACAACGACACCTTCAACACCTACAAGGCACACTACGAAGGCAGGACCATTGACAACACGAGCTACCTCTTCACCGGGCCCTACCGCGTTAACGAAACACTCAGCTTGGTCTCGGTCACTATACCCATCATCAACAACACGTCCAACATTGACACCCTAGGATGGCTGACGGCTGTCCTGGACGCGTCGCTGATTACCAATGTCGTCAACGCCATGGAAGGTCTGGACAACAGTGGTCTTACCCTGCTGTTCGGCCCGGACAATGCCACGAATACCTTTCCTCCGGCATATCTGTACGACGCCGATGCCCCCAACGCTCCCGAGAACGTACAGGTTCGCTACCTCGCCCCGCCAACACAGCGAGCAAAGGTGCAACGGCATGGCCAATACGACACCTCTCTTGACCCGCCTCCGTTCGACTGGGCAAGATATCCCGCCATTCGCAAGGGTTTCACCAAGCCGACCGGCGCCACGAACAATGCTGGTAGCATCATCTCCACCAGAAACGAGGATGGTGACGATGTTGCCGTTGGATACGCTGTCGTTAACAGTCCCATGGTCGACTGGATGATTGTGGTAGAGCAGACCCACGATGAGGTCTGGGGACCCATCTACCACCTCCGGAACGTCATCCTTGCCTGTGTGTTTGGCACAATGGGTGCAATGCTACTTCTGGCGTTTCCCGTGGCACACTTCTCCAGTCAGCCCATCCGAAGATTACGCGACGCTACCAAAAAGACAGTAGCGCCTCACATGTTTGAGGACGACGACTTCAGCTCGCAAAACGACGGCGCCAACGACAGTTCGGAAGATGCGGCCCTTGCCCGCAAAGAGGGCTTCTTTGGTCAAATCATACATTACCGGAGAAACGCAAAAATGAACCGAGCAGAGAAGAAGGAAGCCGAAAGGCGGAGACAGTTCCGCATTCCAGGCAAAGTCAAGGACCGTAAACACTTCATTCACGATGAACTCACGGATCTGACAACGACCTTCAACGAGATGACGGATGAGTTGATGATGCAATATGAGAAGCTGGAAGAGCGGGTAGCACAAAGAACAGCTGAGCTCGAACAGAGCAAGAAGGCGGCCGAGGCGGCCAACGAGAGCAAGACGCTGTTCATTGCGAACATCTCGCACGAATTGAAGACGCCACTCAACGGCATTCTGGGCATGTGCGCCGTGTGCATGTCGGAAGACGACCCAAACAAGTTGAGACGGTCGCTAGGCATCATCTACAAGAGTGGAGACTTGCTACTCAATCTATTGACAGATCTCTTGACGTTTAGCAAGAACCAGGTCGGTCAACAGCTCAGTCTTGACGAAAAAGAGTTCCGGCTACGGGACATCAGTTCTCAAGTTTTGGCTATTTTCGAAAAGCAAGCAAGAGAGGGCGGCATTAAGCTCGCTGTCGAATTCGAGGGACCATACGAAAACAACCTGGACGATAGCGGACGGCCGAACGAGCTTCGCGACCTCGGACCTTTCGGGCTTGGTCGACTCAAGGACATGGTTCTGTACGGCGATCAACATCGAATACTTCAGGTGGTCATCAACCTGGTATCGAACAGTCTCAAGTTTACGCCACAGGGTGGTTCTGTCACGCTCACGATCCGTTGTCCTGGAGAGGCACACATGTCAGACAGTCGCAAGGCGTCTCTGCAATCACGGCAGAGCTCAACGCGCAATTCAAAAACTCGCGTAAGGGCCTCCGCTTCAGAGGTAGGGTCTGTCTCAATTGCGACACCGAGCGACAACTTCGGAACTGCCAACGTTATCAACGTCATGGGCAAGGGAGATGCGTTCTCCCGCTACATGGCTCAGGAGCGAGCCCCAACACCGCCACCGGGACGGTGGTTGTCTTTCGAGTTCGAAGTCGAGGACACTGGTCCAGGTATTCCCGACCATCTACATGCCAAGATTTTCGAGCCTTTCGTCCAGGGCGACTTGGGTCTAAGCAAGAAGTTTGGTGGCACCGGTCTTGGCCTGAGTATCGTCTCGCAGCTGGCTGGTTTGATGAAGGGCACGATCGGTCTCAAGAGTGAGGTCGGACACGGAAGCGTCTTCACTATGGTAATACCGTTGAAGCACCTTACAAGTCGGGCCGACAGTACAGCCAGCTCCAGGAACGTGAACCTGGAAACCGGGACACCGCGCCGTAGCTTATCGATCGACGAGCCGCCGCGAGGTCGCTCACATGATGACGCGCTTTCGGCCCGCTCGATACAGTCCGCTACAAGTGGCCCGATCGTCGCTGGGAACACCGCTGCTACTGCTCCGTCCGGGCCAGTTGCCTTTGACACCGATACCCAGCCTCGTCTTGTCGGCCTTAGTCAGCCTTTCTTTGCTTCCAATGCGCCATTGGAATCACCAAACTCGCAGGTCGCAGCTATGAAGCGCGTTGAAGCCGAAGCTACAAAACGTGGAGACAAAGTCAAGGTTCTCGTCGCCGAAGACAACAAGACAAATCAAGAGGTCGTACTGCGCATGTTAAAGCTTGAAGATGTGTACGATGTCACTGTCGCAAAGGACGGTCAGGAAGCGCTCGACTTGGTCATGGAAAGTATGGAACGCAAAGCTCCATACAACCTCATCTTTATGGATGTCCAAATGCCCAACCTGGACGGTCTGCAATCAACGCGACTGATCCGGCAGTCTGGTTTCTCGGCCCCCATTGTCGCTCTGACAGCTTACGCGGAGGAGAGTAACGTGAAGGTATGTAATCAGCGTTCTCATCTCGCTACTGTCATACTAACAAGCCATAGGAATGCCTCGACTCAGGCATGGACTTCTTCCTCTCGAAACCTATCCGCCGCCCCGCCCTCAAACACGTCCTCAAAACATACTGTCCTACTATTCCAGAAGAGGAGTCGGACACAACGCCACCCGGTTCCGCGGTCTTGACGCCGAAGCCAAATGGTGTAGCGGTGAAGCCTGCCCCACCAGCGGCGGGGTCCACGGCGCCATTCACCATCGTCTCGGGAACGAGCGATAACCGGCGTGCCGATGAATCGCCAGCCATATCGCCCATGACCTCGCCCGCAGCGTAGCGCTAGTGAGGCATTATCTTGCTGCGCTCCCATCTGATCTTTCTCGCTGGGTTCACCATCTCTGTCCAGCGACACCTCTGTCTACGAAGTTCCTTGTAATGTCCTAAGCACGATACCACTTAATCGCTACTTTTCTAATCTCGTTTGCGATCTTGTAGTTTTCCATTTTCTTTTGCGGCAAATGTACATAGCAAGCATGGCGCTGGTCGGGTATGGGGTCGATTTCCCTTTTTTTCTTCTGCTAGTCACATATCATCTGGGTGTGCGTTTTGGCGTTTACTCTTCGGCCTGCAATTGCCAGAGCCTTCTTATCGCTGGGCTTATTTCTTTGGAGAGATTCTGATTTGTCGTCATTCTTGAGGGTGTTTTCTTGGTGTTGATCAACGGGGCGATGTAACGTCCGGCGGGGTCTTTTACTAGGCAACAAAACATTTGGCGGGGATCTGGGATGAATCAATTGAACTTATCTTGCAACGCCATGTTGGCTGTTGCGCAACACTTAAACTGTCTGGACTGGTTGTATCAGTGTGTTGTCCTTGTGATACTCTGCGATAGATGTGAATATTTCACGAGATGGAAGATCTTGCATCTTAATACCACCTTGTGCAGCGAAGGTGCGCTGCAGTCTAAGTTGGCATAAAAAGGTATAATGACAAAATCCCAAGGCAGTGTGGTCTTCTAGGCCGACGGTTTTATGTGGGTGTTAGACTTTTCCTAGGATGTTGTGATACTATCCGCTTGTCTGCAGTGTCCTCACGTGAAAAAGGAAAGAGTAATGGGATGATTTTGTCTTTTCTTATATATCAGGGCTAGGGAATCTGAGATAGACACGATTATCTTTTGGCATCCATCATGATGTCTGCTAGCTCAACAGTAGTATCTAGTACTATACGCAGACGTTCGGGGCGTTAAGCACCAACGCACGCGTGTCCGAAACCGCAATGTATGAACAATGACCAGACTCAAAAAGAGCCCTCCAGATCGGAATCTCCATCAGGATGTGCGTAGTAGCCGGCGAACGGGTTAGGAACACTCCTCTTGGGACCTTCCAAGCCAGTCAAAGCCTTAACAAACGCCTCGTCTTCCAAGTTCTCTCGTTCTGAATCATCCATGAGGTCGTCGTCAACAATGCCGAAGTCAACTTCGACAGAGTTGTCGATGAACGCCATAATATGGTTCATGTAGGAGTCAGAGCGACGGCCCTCCAGACTTTGGTCTTCTCGCACCTTCTTTATCCACTTTGCCTGCCAGGCTTCCGGCGCAAGTTCGTAGTAGTCCGAGACGATGTACTCCGTTTGCTGGCACTTCTCCCAAGCAACCACAGTGACTACGGTACCCTCCTTCATCAACGCGTTGACAACGCGACGTGAGCGCTGCAAGACCGGCGTACAGTATATGAGAGCACCATTCCATTCGAGCTTGATCGTGAGGTGGAAACCCTTCTTGACTCGCACATCCAAAAGCTTCTCAAGATGGTACCCGAAGATGTCTAAGCCCTCCTTGCTCTGAATGGGGTCTTTTGATCGGCCTCCGTCTTGGATGTAAGCGTCCGGCGCCAGGGTGAGCTCCAGGCGACGAATATAGTCGAGAGGTTTGACGCCGAGGTGGAAGTGATCTTTAGACAGGAAGTGGGTGAGTTCATGGAGGTTATTAGCATCCAACTGACGGCCGGACATCTTGCGATAGTATGCTTTGGCGACTTCCTTTGCAACGTCCATACCGACATACTGGTGCTGGACCCAGAGTGGAAGCTCCCACCAAAGGAAACAGCGACAGTTGTCTCCCATGCAGGGTACGGACCAAGGCGCCAAATTGATCTTGTCCTGCCCTCGATGGCCAGTGGACGCGAAGGACCGTGGGAAACTTGTAGTGCTCGAAGTCTTCTCGTACAAGGTCACGTCATCGAAGACTAGCCTGAGCATGGGCTCATCCCAGACGTAGTCGTAGACCATCTCGCGGAGCTCTGGTGGTAGAGTGGTGTGGAACTTGTCGACGAATTTGCGGCACAGCTTCTCAGCGACGATGCGGCTGAGGTGATGACATGCCCTGCCTACGGTCTCTCGCCTGGTCTCGAGCTCTGCAACCTTGTTCTTCAATTCATCAAGCCTGCGTAGGTAATTAGCTATAAATCCTTGTGCGATCGCTCCAAAACAGGACCTACTCGGTCTGGACAGAAATCTCTTCTGCGAGAAGCCTATAAGGTATGAGCAATCGTTTGTAGATGTCGCGAATGTTATCACTGACCTTGACAGCTCTGCCTCGGTTGCCTCCAGCGTGGGCGCGTTGTCGCGGAAAGAGCTTGCGTTTGCCATGCTAAGGACTCAAATGTAGATTTTACGCTGAGAGTGTTTTTTGTGAAAGTATTGGGAGTCGTAGGCGTGGGATAGCGGATGTCAGGGTCCGCGCCAATGACGCGCTAACGCAATACTGGTGGTGTCACGAGAAAGGGACCGAGCTTTGAGACACCGGGCAGTTACGACGTTCGTGTTGCTGTTGAAGAGAAAGGGTATGAGTAGAGTGTTGATTATGATTGAGACAGTCCTTCCGGCCTTGGTGTCGCGCGTCTGTAGTCTAGAATCTTGCATTGACCCGTCCTCGTCGTCCATCCGCGGATGTGTGTATGACGGCCTCGCGCCGTATCTGTCTTTTCGAGCCTCCGTTTCCCCATTTGCATATCCCAATGCCTCATCCGCCGTTCATCCATACCTTGGTCCTTTCTCGCCAACTGCCGACGCTTGTCTCGTCCCTGAGCCTAGTACCATCTTCAAAGAACGAAGCCTCAGAAGAGTACAATTGCCCGAACGGAGGAGGAGCATAGTCTATTCTAGACTATTGCTGTACGCCCAAATGTGGCGATGGCGATTGAGAAGGTCGGGAGAGGGAGCAGTACTTCTGAAGTGGCATACAGCGCAGTTCGCAATCCATATGGATAGCCTCGATGTTCTGCCCCATCACCTATCATAGGGAGCGTCCGTCCTCATGATGTATATCTCGCCAACGAGAACGACTAGACCGACGAGCATGGTGATCGCAATGATGGGCAGATTGACGCGCGCAAACTCCAGACCGCCAACACGGATGTGCTTTCTGCCCAGGATATCGCGCCAAAGCATGCCCGCCAGCGATGCACTGAAGGCGAGACTGAAAGCACCATAATTGACACCGATTGCCATGCTGTATATGGTGCCCCAGAATGTTCGATCGGAAATTGGAATGCCGTTCTGACGGTGGATTTCTTGCCACGATTGAACCACCCTAGAGATGAGAATTGTGGTACCGATGTTAGTTCCAGCAAACTGGTCCAAGGTTAGCTACTGGAGTCTTATGGTGAAATACACACTCACGTTACACAGTATGACTGAAACGAAGCCCATGCCTCCAATCGCACCAACTGTTCCAGTCTTCTCAACCCAGTGGTCCCACCCATGTGCAAAGACCGGAACCCAGCCCTTGGTGACCAAAGCCTGGACCAGCACGAACATGCAAAAGGCGAAAGGAACGAGCGCCAGCGGGAGGTGATGAAAGACGGTCATAGTTGTCGGAAACGTCTCTTGTGCCCATCTATACGTGTCTGCGACGAGTGATGCGAGGGTGGTTGGCATCGGCCTCTTGGCTGGCTCTAGCTTCTTCTCGTCCTGCGATACGAGTTCAGCGCCCATCATCTCTCGTGTTCGACCGCTCAATATGTGACTGGACGCCTCAGCCGGTGGCTGCGACTTCTCCTCGGGGTTCTGGGCCGTTTTGTGATCCGCTTGAGTCGCAATCGCGTCCAGCTCTTCTTGTATGACAGACTGCCTCCTAGTCTCAGCTCTTTCAGCAAGTGCGGCCTCTGCCCTGCGTCGGCCCTCGTGGGCGATCTTACGTGTCTCTGCCCGGTTGAGCCAACCCATTGTGAGATCGAAGATAAGCATGACAAATGCAGCGGGTAAAGTGACCCAGAACACCGGACGTTCATGAGAGCCTTGAGAGGCAGCATTGATCGCCAAGACAGTAATCAGCGTAGCTGCCATGATGGCTGCTCCAAACATTGCGCCTTTCCTATCCAAGAAGGGGTTCAGGACTTCCTCGAGGGATAACTTCTTCTCTTGTTCGTCGTCATCACTGTTGGGGTCGCTCTCGTTCTCTTCTAGTCCACCTTTGGCGAAGGGAATATTGGGATTGATCGGTTTCTTGTTCTATTGGAGGAAGCTTTGTCAGCACATACTATAACACCTCGCTTGTGGGGGTGCTTACCTTGAGCTCATCTGGAAGGTCTTCCATCTTGATAGAGGCGGGGATGAGAGATTCGTCGTGGAAGATGATGTACAACAAGAAAGGATACAGTACAACTCCCGTGACAAGAACTGGTACGATAATGTTGGCCGTGTACTTGATGAATGTGATCCCAAACGCGCCGGCCAAGACTAGGTTGGTCGGGTTGGATGATACCAGTATCGCCGATGCGATGTTGGCGACCGAGAACTGTGTGAAGATCCACGCCCTTGGATGCTTGATGTTGCTTGATACACGCGTCATGTACGACAGGAACGCAGTGCCAGACAAAATGACCGGATCGTTACCGATGAACGCAGTGAGAAGGAAGAAGAAGGCATACAGGTAGAAGAAAAGCCGGTGACCGACTTTCCCTCCTTTCTGCAACACCTTGAAAGCTAGCCATCTAATGAGACCGGAAGCATCAACAGAAATGGCGATGTAAGCAAGAGAGAGGAAGAACAGCATGATATCGTATGGAACAATACCCTGATCACCCAGGGTGCCACCCTTTACTTCTTTTGCGCCAATAGCAAGGATGGCTAGTAGAAAGAGATCCGCTACCAGAGGTGTCGTAATGAAGTTCATGGGAAAGTCGAACCGGACGAATGGTCCAGGCTTGCCATTCCGGACCCTCGTTGGGTGTTGTGGTGGTGCAATGATGCGCAACGCGCTCATGGTCTTGACGAATGGGGTCCATATTATCCGCGGCACATAGATGGGTATGTGGAATGGAAAAAGAACATTGATGTCTACAAACATTTGCTCGTTAGTCCGCCATCTGCAATGTCAGTACACACACGCTACTTACTTGTCAATACGAAAACAATGAGCGTCACTATAGAGCGCCACTCTTTGATCTTGCTAGTATCAAGGTCAGGCCTCTCTGTCTCTGTGGCGCGCTGGTTCAACATGTTGCGCCCCGTTGCAATGCTGGAAATCCACACTGCAAGATGATCTTGGGGCCAGAAAAACCCCCAGGAGGTGTCCTGACGTTTAAAACGTGCAAGAACAAGCTTTTGGGTTCTGGGTAAGGGCCGATTGATGGGTACGTACGCCCGCTAGACGTTGCAGGCGATCTGTGAGCCGGCGTGCCTGGACCTCCGTCGCAACCGTGGACTTCAGTACCGATGCCGAGAAATTGCTTGTACGATGACACGCGACATGGGCATGGCGGCAGGCAAGTGAGGCTCTTGTATTGTCGCGACATCTGCAGCCCAGGAGGCTGAGCTCGCAGCCCAGGATGACAAGATGATGGCATCTCGGCGCCGGTTGGGCCGCTAGCGAGTAGCGCCTCCCGTATCGAGAAAGGGTCCAGCGCTGACAGGTCATGCCTTCCACTCAGCCTCTCGCCCTATGCAACTGCGACAGGCGAAGACGATATAGTTCACCGGTAATCTGCATTGCCCCAAACCATTGGAGATCTACATGGCACGCCTTACCCCGGAGTCGCGCCCTTATGCGCGCTGCGCAATACCTATGCCGCTGCTCTTCCTTCGTGACGGCTCATCCAGCAATGTCTTCATCTCATCTGTCTTTACCCATACCAGGGAAGCATGTCTGCAACTACAGCGCTATCCGATTTTGCGACCGCTACTTCGTCCGCTACAACGTCTAGCCCAACGCTACAAGTTGTCTGTGCCTGGCCCATTTCGTCCAACTATGGAGCAGGGTCGCGTGTTAGTACCAACTCCTTCCCACGTGTAGAGTGGGTCTGGACCTATCAGAAAACTGATGCATGAATACAGATCCTGTACTATGTTCTTGTTGCCGCATGTGTAACTTTTCGCAAAGCAGAATGGCTACGGAACACCTGTCTGGCTGCCGTTTTAATTCTGCCGGCCATCTCGGCCCTGCAGGCCCTCGTGCTAGCAGCCGCGCATACGAATGGTCAGTATAACGGCCACCAAGAACTCCAAGAAGCGCATTTCTGACCAAGAACCCTAACAGGCGGCGTCGATATGGATATTTACGGCGTAAGTTCTTGGTGCTAATATGCTGTGCGACAAACACTGATCGATCGTTTTCGCCTGTGCAGGCTTTCCAGTTCTGCGCAATTGGCATTTTAGCAGCGCCTCTCACTGTGAGACTGTCGCGAACTTATTTCCAGTCTCCTGGTCGCAACATCATATTTCTCTGGACGATACTGATCCTGATGGGGCTGTTGGCGCTCTGCGTCGAGTTCTACCGGGTCACTCCAACGGCCTGTAGCAGCGACGATGATGGGAATTCTTTCCGAGGTGCCGCTAACTTTCCGTACGAGCATGCTACTTGCAATCTGACTTGCTCTGAAAGCGTGGGTCCGAATTCTCCGATGCGAGGCGGATCTGCCGCCGACGTGTATGTCATTCCCGTGCCGCGCATCCTGACTTTCAACGCCGCCATGCTGCTCTCGGCCGGATTTTGCATACCTGCGATACTGTCCTTGATCTTCACCTGGGATAAAATTCTGGAGATCAACTGGAAAAGACGGCGTCACGTGGAGCCACTAGACGCTCGGATCGAGGGCGCCAACATGACCGTTGGAGAGATGAAAGGTATCAACAACGTCGTGAGAAAGTTCTTGAGTGTCATAGAGATCCCCCTATTCGGCGGAGTGATCATCACAATCATTGGGGTTGGCGAAGCAAATTTCTTCAGTCCTCAGGTGCGGTACATGACGGAACCTATGGCTTCGATTGGTGAGTTGTGTGACGCAGTGGTATGCTCGGTGCTAACAGAGTCCCCAGGGCAATGGTCACCCATAGCTGGAACAATCCTGGCCGCACTTGGCTCTCTATATATCCTGTGGTCGACTGGTGGTGACGAGGCTCAGCAGGGGAAGCCTGTGGATCATTATGAAAACTCTGGCTCATCGCGCCCCAGTCGTAGTAGCGAGCGACGACCATCTCCGCGGCCTCCTTCCTCCAACTACTTCAGCCCCAAGGGTATTGCAGAGAATGGCTTGGGTATACGCTCAGAGTCGCCCAATGCTATTGAACTGATCCCGACTATCACGCATCCCGGCTCCGAACATCCTCAACCCAGCCCTTCTTCTCACGATGAACAACAAGAGAATACCCAAGCTGATCAGCCGACGGCCGGTAGAAACGTTGTGCGTAAATGGCTGACGTCTGCTGGCAATTACCTGGGCGACGCTGCGCATGAGAAGCTCGATACAGATCATGTCGGCAACGACGAAGACACTCATAGGTTTCCCGAAGTTCCTGGCGAGATCCTACGAAATCCCGATCTAGAAAGGATCAGTCGCACGTACAGTAAGCTCCGCGAAGAGAGGGAAAACAGCGTATATGCGGCAAGCATTGCATCTACATCAGGTATCGAGGGCAGTACATCTCCGCCACCTATACAGGATTCGCCGCGTCCCGATATCAGCCCTGTCCGACGACCAGAACGAAGGGCTACGCTGGAAGTACCAAAGGAAGTGCATCGTAGAAGCGAGAGCCATTGACAGGTCACAGGCCAAACCAGGCTTCCGATACGGTCAGATGCGAAGGGACGCTATGGCCTACCCCTACTGCCCAAATACCTTCGACACTCGGTCCGAAGTCGTCAGTGCGGTAGTTGCGCTCTGGCGTATCTTTCTTCGAGCTTGTTGGTGTGGTACTGACGCCAAACACGTTGGTCCACTGCTTCAGCGTCTCGTCGTAGTTCTTCGGGCTCAACGTTCCATCTACCGAGCCATGCCAGAATTCTTGAGAAGTCAGTACGTGGTTCACAAGCGCACGAGACCTGGAACTTACGCATGCGCGGTCGGGTTCCGTTGTACCCGGGATCCATCCCTCGAACTACGTCACCCCAGTGCTGCGCGGTCGAGATGGACTGCCCGCCAGAGCAGGTGTTATTCCATGCTGCCGCTGCTCCGGATGCAGAGACGAAACATCCAGCCGGTACACCCGAGTATAGAGACACTGCGCTGATGAGCTCGGGATAGGTGGCGGCCAGAACGTTGCTCATCATGCCGCCTGAGGAGCCACCCGTAACGAACACTTTCTTGGGGTCAATCTTGTACTTGTCGATCGCATAGATGATCATGTTCGCGATCGCGTTCGAATCGCCACCGCCATTATGCGACAACGAAGCTTTGCTGGACACGTCCCAGCATTCAGTCGTGGAGCTCGGCCAAACCGTCACGTAGCCTTTGCTATCCGACCCTTTCTTCCATGGAATCAGGGAGTTTTGGAAATACTTCTGCGCCGATGACTGGCATGAGTGGATCGCCACGACTAGCGCATCGCTCTTGACCTGGTCAGGCACATATACCCACCTTGGGTGGCGTGTCAGTCAATTGCAGCCTTGGAAAGGAGGGGCGCGGATCACTCACATGCCTGGCTTTGCTCGCGCGCTACCGCCATAGTTGGGGATCTGTGTCAATTGCGCAGCGAGAACATCTGAAGCAAGTGCTAGGGTTGCAAAAAAGGTTCGGGTGAGCATCTTGGAGGAGCTGGAGGTAGTTTGACAGTTCCATGTCTGAGCCTGGTCACTATATACACGCATCAGCTCCGCATTGACAGAGTGGGGTCGACTTTCATTCGTGGAAGTTGACATCTTCGTCTTGTCATGTAGTGTCCGAAGCCTATGGCGCCACGTGAGGTGCAATGTTCATCAGAGCGTTTGTTAGGTAGCTCCGGATAAAGGGGAAGATGCTCGCAATCAAGCTTCATACCAAGCATTTTTCGCACATTACCCGCATATGTCTGTATCCCTGCATTCCACGTCTACCACTTTACAACTGCCGATACGAAACAGGAGGACTTGATGTTACTGGTCGGCCCATCCTCAGAGTCTAATCCAGCTACTCTAGGTGCCGGACGAAGCTCGACGTCAGGCGCAGCTTTTAGACAAGCCTCGCGACGCCTGGAAAGTAGCGCAATATAGGGACAAGTCAATGAGCAAGTGCTGATTACTGAGGCCCGCGGATAGAAGGGTGGCTGCGCTGAATATCTGGTACGTTATATGAGGCCGACATTGGTGCCATGTGGGGAGCTTCGCGCCGGTCGTCCTACTTTCTTTGAGGAACTTTGAGCAGACGACAAGACAGAATGTCTTCCTACGGATAGATCAAATTGCTCGAACAATTACTTGTAATCGCATTCCGATCAGGGTAAGGACACTCACGATGTGGCGTCTTCTTGGATACACCGCCGTACTCTTAGCCCGTCGGGTCTCCGCTCATGGCGGAGCTCTGAACTATACTGTCGGAGACACATGGTACCCTGGGTAAGGTCAAGATGCAGAGTCCTCAAAGAATGTAAATAAGTCGATCCAGTTAACGCTCTTCACAGCTACGATCCTTATGGCGACCAGGCCATGCAGGACGCTGCCGCATGGATGCCACAACGAAAATGGATTTCCAACAACCCCATTTTCGAAACCACCAACACATCTCTTTCCTGCAACACCCCCGGTACACCCGCTCGCGCATACATACCCATTCGCGCGGGCGAAAACATAACCGCCGTATATGCGTACTGGGTGCATACCGTCGGTCCTATGATAGCCTGGATGGCGTACTGCGACAACGCCGAGAATGACTGCACGACCTTTGCTAGCGAGACGGCAGATTGGTTCAAGATCGGCGAGAAGGGGTTGTTGGAAGGAAGCATCGAGACTGGAGAGTGGTTCCAGAAGGCGTTCAGTACGTGGGACGGAAGTCCAAGTCTGTGGAGTGAGACGGTGCCTGTAGGGCTGAAGGCGGGAAGGTACTTGGTGAGGCATGAGATTATCAGCTTGCATTCCGCAAATAGTATGTGCATGGTTCCCTCCTCTAGTTGTAGCTCCCCGAACATGAGGGAAGGTGCAACGCGCTAACTATCTGGGGTGCTCAGAACCCCAATTTTACCCCGAATGCGCGCATTTGGAAGTCACGAATGATGAAGAGGAAGGCTCGATTCCCAGCGAGGAGTATATGGTCAAGATTCCAGGCGTATGGAGTATGGAACGTACGTATGCTAATGTCCAGAAAGAGCATGCGACTGATCGTTGATAGAACCCGAGATCAATATCGACATTTATGACCCCGAGGTCTTGGTAAAGACGGTACGTTCGATAGAGACACGGGTTGCTTCAAGTGCCTTGTGCTGACGACATTACCTAGGTATACAACATCCCGGGCCCACCTGTATGGACTGGAAAGCCGCAGGTCGACGCGTAGAAGGCGTGATGGACTGAGCACGCTCCGGAATCACGGCCCAGTCAATCGAGGATTTGCACATCACAATTCAGTTATCCTCTGTGGCGCAATTGGCTAGCGCGTCTGACTGTTACAGCTCGCAGTAGCAGTCATCAGGAGGTTGGAAGTTCGAGCCTTCCCGGAGGAGTGAATTTTTTTGCTGCTTGTGCGGACAAGACGGTAGACTGGCGTGGATTGACGAAGGAGTACATTTTTGATGCTAGGGTTGTGGGTAGCATGGAGTGACAGCTGCCGAGGATCCACCTGGCTGTGGGATTACATAACCGGCAAACGTCATCGATTAGCGCTATGGCCATGCTCCTTCCTGCGCGTCCTCACAACAACACCACGCGTCGACACATACACAAGACGTCGAAAGCGGCAATTCATATCATCATGACGCGATACAACGCGTGTTTCAATGTGATCGTGATATTGTACGTTTCAAAATTCTCATTCGAAGTCTTTTGCCGCCTGACTGCCGAAGCTCTCCAGGGCTAGCACTATCCCAATGCACACTCCATACCATCCACCAAACCTATGCTCGCCCACACGCCACGCTATAATGTCGCCTTCCTTCGACAGACTTTGAAATATCGAGTCATCTCGGTCATCCGGTCTTTCCACGTGCAACCAGCCTTGACTTGGCGAGCGTCTTACCTCCTCTTACGCCGGTCTCACCTCTAGACCCCTTATCTCACTTGGCTCTCTGTCTCTTGGCTTTCTTGGTATCTTTTCGACGGGGTCGGGCGGGAGTCGTAGTGGGTAGGCATGGTGGAGACTGTCCTACTTCCTGGGCAGTATCCTCTTGGTCGACATCAAGCTCCTTCTCGAGAGTTTTGCGGAACGCGGCTTGGTCTTGCAGCTTCCGGTAGCGGTTCTTTTGAGGTTCGGTCATCCCTTCCTCCTTCTTCAACAACTCCTGTTGCTCCGTCTTGTTTGCCACCGCTGCATCATGCTCAGCCTTGAATGACTCGAAGATGGCCTTCCATTCGACCTTGACATTCGGGTAGTTGTTGCGCGCGTTCTTGACGTCGAGGTTAAAGCCCGCTAGGTATGGGTGCACGGCGCATCCTTTGGGGGAGATACACTGAAAGCGCTGCCCACAGATCACGACCTCGTTGTATGTGTCTAACTTCTTGTCCTGGTCGACAACGGGAGCAAGACACCAGCAGAAGTGCAGCGCGCTGACACATCTCATTGAGGGGCCGCCGCCGCACTCCTTGTCTTCGCAATGATGCTGTGGTTGGAGAGGTCAGTGTATTCTCTCAACACAATTCCAGTCCCTCCCGGCTACCTACAGCGCTGCTCATTCTCTCTTTGGTACGAATGTTCCTCATCATGGCGGCGTTGCTGTCGTTCTTGATATACTGGCCGAATATCTCGTCCAGGTCCAAGGAACTCTGTCGCGCGTAGTTGGGCATCTCTGTGGCGATTGCATTCGATGTTTCCTAGATAGTAGAGGTTTATGGGTAGCGCAATCAAGCAGATAGGGTCGGGAAAGTCGTGTAGGTCAGTGAGGTTGTACCTTTCGTCGGCAGAACGAAGGATCACTATTGGTTGTTGCAAGAGTTGTACGCCTTTACTACTCGGCTAATAGGCACTATTCACATTGTTATTGTTGTGGTTGCTGCCTATCTATTTACTCGGCTTAGGCTGCCTCGCTCGCTCCGAGTATCGCCGACATTGTGGTTATCTATCCCTACGAGCTTCACTGGAATAGTATCTGCTGAGAGCCCCCTCAGTACATTCGCACTTAAGGTCATGATGATCGGCCTATATCACGATAATCTGCTCACTGTTCCCCTAGCAGCGACTTGTACACGACGATGCAGACATAACGACTGGATATTTAATCAAATAAATCTGCGCAGCTCCTCCTCGATTCTACCCCGAGAAGAATACACCGCATTAGACACGCTTGTCTTAGTACACCTATACATATACTACAATCATAGACTCTCGGCTAGGCTCGCATAGGGAAGCATAGTCGAGGACTTAATTGAATATAGGCGATAACAGTCTTTATTAAGCTCTTAATTAGAGTTTTAGTAGTTATAATTAGGTGTAACATCCTGCAACGCCTAACCTACAAGAGACGAGGAGTAGAATTTTGATGTACTAAGTAAGACTATACACTCTCTGCAACTATGTTTAAGCCTAGTTGATTGCCTTACTACCTGTATCGAGAGACTCTGTGGTACAAAAGAATTATTTGGTTAAGAACAGTGCGGAAGGCAGCTGTCGCATTAGCTATGGAACGTGCTAAGTAATGCAGCAGAACGTTATACACTGGAAGCCTAGCTACTATCTCTACATCTATACACAATACGAAGACAAAATTAACATACAGTAGCTAACACCGTGATGCTCTTAAGTGAGTAGTCAAGAGAGACGCATCTGCCTCAGTAGCACAACATAGCGTCTCTTGGTCCTCTCGTCCATCAATCCGCACGTGTCTCCCACTCTTTTACGACACATGCTTCCTTCGACAGAGGGCGCTAATTGGGCCTCGTAGCATCTTCTTCAGTTCCTGATTTTCGTATCAAGTCTATTGCCAGCTCTAGCAACCCTTGCCATCCGTCATGAGTATTCAAATCTTTGATAAAGGTCGACAATATTACCATGGTCTCGACATCCGTCTCTAGTTTGTACGCGGTTCGATCGTAGAAAACACTGGAGGTATCGCTTGCGGTCATGCGTACTTTGTTGCTTATAGCTTCTATCATCTCCATTGACTGTTGCTGGATGTTGTGAATAAGCTGAGAAATATCGCCTGAAGCATGAGAGGCGAGTAGTGGTACATCAAGTGATGTGAACTTTGCGAAATCACTGACATACTCATGCGCGCGGGAAAATGTCCAGAAGAAGCCATCAACTGCATGGGTGGCGCAGGTAGTGGCGCATCGTGAGTCGCAAACTCCGAATACAACGTACGTATAACAAGACTCCGATCGCGTTGGCAGTTCACAGCACCTGGTCAGCTCGGCTGTTACGTCACTTTGCCCAGAAATGGTGTGCCATCGTGGCGTATACATTGCGACTTCGAGTCGCATGGAGACGGCGTGGTACGTGTTCATAGCTATAGCCATAGCCATCTCCATGGAGGAGCCTTCAGTGCGCGCGTACCGACTGTCATCGTCACCGCGTGGTTGCATAGGCCAGGCTCTCATCGGTTCCAGACTAACGTGACCGCCCATGTAGTCGTCTCTTTGTCCTTTGATAACATAACGACTGTACTCTTCGGCAAATTCGAAAGGAGACTTCAGGAAGTTTAGCGCCAAGATTTGCTGGAGAAGCTGCCATACGGTGAGGCTATAATCGACGATATTGATGAGCCTCCAGTTTTCTTCAGTCCCCTCGAGTAGGCCAAGTAAAGCGAAAACACCGTCTAGAGGGACTGATCGAGATAACATTCCAAAGAGCTCAAACAAATCTTCAAATGTTCTCCATGCTACACCTCGATAGCGTATGAGAGCGAACATCTTGTTTTTACTTTGCACTACGTCCTTCCATTCGTTAAAGAAAACGACTCCTCGTATGGTCTTCTCCAACTTGTTGTAGGGAAGTTTGTGTCTTCCCGACAATAAGTGGACGTCTTGTGCAAGAAGGAACTCCTGAACGATCCATATCCGTGACCAATACTCTGCTTGTAGTATGTACTTCTCCCGACGTCTTTGTCGTGTATGCTGGCGTTCATCTCCTCGGCATCGATAGTACAAATCTATTATGTACTGTAGGTCGAAAATGCCGGTATGAGGCATCGGCTCGTCGTAGCCAAGCCAGCTGTAAACGCACTTGGCGCCAGAATAGATTCGTTTCATCTCTTGAACTTGATGACTCCGCTCTTGAATGTCGTCCTGATTGATGCATATGGCATCCAGCCATATGACCTGCGGTTCGCGACGGCTGCGGAAGGCTTTCAAAAAGCGAAAGAGATTGTCTCGCACTTGAAAGGGCTCGCCATCCAAGAGTATAGATCGCTTCGGCTCGGGTGGACCCCAGACATAAGATCCAGCGATATATTTATCTCGTTCGCGTGAGATCGAAGACGTGAATAATTCGCATCGTATTGAAGAACCTTGGCGCCGGCTAGGCAGCACGCGCAAAAGTCGGAAACTGTCGCCGTTATGCAGAAGAGGCGAGTACCGGGTAGAGGCAGTCTGCCGGACTTGTGTTGAGTTGGTAGAGACACTGGTGCTTGTGTTGTTTGTTGACATAGCGAATGCCCTGGGCATAAGGTAAAGCTCCGGTTTCGACTGTGAGATGCGAGGCAGCAGTTACGAATGAAGGGGGTTTCTGAGGAGATATACTAACGGGAGTTGACAGAAACGAGGGAGGCTGAGCAACGCCACAGACTTGGCAGCTGACATCGGTACTAATACTGAGGCCACACCGATCGCATCCTCTGCGACAAGTTTCGAGGTCATCATCGCATAAAATGAAAGGCGAACCAGTTAGTTACACTGTATATTCATCACGCGGAAGACGATTATAAGGCCGTGACTATGAAAAGGTGTCTGGCGTGATGTACAGGTCGTGTCAACTCACATACCGACAGATGTAAGGGTCCAGGATGAGACGCAAAAATGGCGATGGAAGATATGCGGAAAGATGATACATGCATGGAGGTTGCGCCGTTGAAGAGAGCTGGATGCTTTGATAGCGACGGAAGGCGTCGTGTGCAATGTGAGAGATGTGGCTGCTGCTGTGAACCTGGACGAACAGGTAGCATTAGAGGGCCGCTACTACAAAGAAGATGCAGGATGCAGCGACAGAGCTAGCTCTTCGTGGAGCGTACCTGACTCTGACGTGTTCATTGTGCAGGATTCCGCAGCATATCAAATGGAAACACAGCGTACATCTCCATAGCGCAGAGTATATCAGGTACATATCGGGAATACGAGCTTGTCTGTATTGCGAGCGTTGTGGCCAAAAAGCAGCCTCGGGACTCCAAATACAGCTGTGAGTTGTTAGTCCCCAAACTCGATGAACTCGCCGTTCCTCCCTCCCGACAGCTGTTCCGCCTTCTTCTCCCATTGTCCCATAAACCACACCGGCCAGCCTCTCGCTCGTTTCCCATACGTCCGTCGAAGGGGCTTCGACACAGAGTGTGCAGTCTCGAGGTATGTCTCTCTGAAAGTATTCCACAACTGTCTACCTCCGTCATCTGTAGCCAAGGGATCGGGAAAGTATGGATCGTTACAGGTCACCGCTGTGACTAATCGCTGTATGGCGGCTTCGGGTCGATCGAAGGAGAGGAGCGAGGCTTTATCGAAATCGAGGACGTAAAGGCGCATTTCATCTGACATATGATGTGTTCGGTCCCATCGGTTCTGTCTCCAGTTGGGTTTCGACATCGGGGCGCCGAGAACGAGATTCGGCGGTGAGGAAGAGCAGAAGGGCTCAGAGGTCTCGAGATCGTTGGCAAGAATGACTTGCTCCCCATCCCAGTCATTTTCTCCTCCAAGTACAAACTCGATATCCATACCGTCTACGAGGGCATGCCAGTGTATGATAGCCAGGCCTGTAGCCATTTCTTTTGCCAATTCCATCGCCAAGTTGTCGTCGAATGGGAATGATGTGAGGTCCTCCCTTGTTAAAGGAAAGTTCCAAAGATTGTCCGACCTACACAACGGTTCGTCCTTGCGTGTTGCCAGTCCAAGATATGGTCGCACAAGACAAAACTCGTTCTCGGGATTGGCGAATACCGCGGCTTTGGATGTAGTGAACTCGTAGCGCGTCATCAGAGCGTGTCGAAACTCAGAGCCTAATGTAGGAATAAGGGACAGGGAAAACAGGAACGGTGCCGTCTCCTTGTCCTCGGCTTCCGTGAAACAGCCGGCGAATTCTGCCCAAAAGTCTTCTTTAGCTTCATCTGCTATCCAGCCCTTGATAGCTGGCACCCTGGGAGTGTAGTCTTTGATTTTCCAGTCGCGTTCTGACTCCGTCAACGACCGATGTACGTGAGCCGTCAGCCGTATATCATTCCATAGTGCGTCTCGGTTCCGACCAATCTTGTTTGCAGCCGTGGAGAGATCCACGCAGGTGTAGATGGTGCCGCATGTGCCGCGACCGATAACGTGGAGGTCTATGGGGTTGTCGTCTAATGCGCGCGCCGGGCTTATTTGGGAGCCATCTCGAAGGGTATCGTTCGCGTGGCCATGCTGTGTTTGCGCCATTGTGGCAGCTCTGCTTTGAGAATGGGTGGGCTAGATTGCTATTAGAGTATCGGCAAGGTCCGTGTTATATTTCTCAACAGGTGCGACACTGTCGTTGAATATCAGCCAAGTGCGGTTGACTCAGAGAGCGAGCCATGGTTCGTTCTAGCATGATTCTCCAGTCCAGGCATGCCAATTGGAGCGCGCGCAGACTTTACGCTAAGTGTCTTCATCGTTCGTGCCAGAGTAGATGGATAGAGTCGTCAGGTTGCGATAGCTTGCATGTGTGAAGCCGATATCGTAGTCGTTCGTGCTCGCATGCGCGTGTAACAATCCGCGTTCTGGGGCCGTGCCCGGGCTAGCCTGAGAACGCTTGGCACGTGACTACGCGACAACGATGACGCCATCTCAGAATCTGCCACTTTCTAAGTGCGGCGAACGTCTGTCATGGTGCAGGTTTACATCGCTGTTCTACACGCGTTGGTTATCCCTCAATCGTGATCAACAGACATTTTGGTATAAGATGTAAATTACAGGACCTCTCATTGCGCTCGATGCATCGAAGAACATCGAGGCTCGTACATCGTGAGCGTACAGATTTTACATACGTCTTCTGCACCTCTCATGCGTGCTTGTACTTCATCATCCGCAAGCCATATAACACATTCTCATTCCTCCACGAAGAATCTGGCCGCAAAAACGACATCGTTCTCACTGAACACTCCCTGCCTCTCACTCTTCACCTGCCTTAGAATGCCCTGTTTGTTCTTCTTGTCCTTGCTCTCTGCGTACGCGATGACACAATCCCGGTTCAGCGATGGGTTGCTGTTCGTCTTCAGACGTGTGGGACTGCGAGGCTCCTTCGGTAGGGTGCGGTTGAGGTTCTTGCGTTTCTTCGTAGCCGAGGATTGAGGTGTAGAGGGTTCGTGGCGCGCAAGTTGAGGTGTCGTTAGAGTTGAAGTGAGCTTCACTGGAGACGGAGTTTCATTGCCGCGACGTGATCCGCGCAAGTTTTTGCGTTCCGGTGAGCCATCCGCTTGCGGAATAGGTGCAGGAGACGATCTAATAGGTGCTCGAGGTGACCGGGTATATGAAATGGGCTCCATATCAGGCTCAGGAGTTGTATGTAGGCTGGATAGAGGAGAAGATGTAGCAGTGTCCCAGATCTTAGAGTTCTGGACGACCGGTATCGCGATCTTGGACGATGGAGCTGCGTCAGGCGTGTTTCTCGGTTTGGCGAAAGAGCGAGATCGACGTAGTCGCGCAGATGCTTCACGAAGTATCTCTTCTGGATCCTCGAACCAGAATGGATTTGCCTTTGGGCCTTGTACACTGAGAATGTTGTTGCTAGAAGTTGTACGACGCGAGAGTCTTGATTCGGTTGCATGTATACTCTGGTTGCTTGAGTCAGCATCCAGCTGGTCACCATGCAGCTTGACCTCCTCTACTTCAGGTCGTTCACCCGTTAGGATGGAGTTCTTGACAGTAGATGCGGGTTGTTTAAACACAACATTCGGTTGGAAAGCGCTGGTCTCTTGTGGGTTGTCGATAGCGAGGGGCAGGTCAGTCTTCGCGTGCTCTAATGGCGATGTAGGCGGCGGCGTTCCCATCCGGACCGTACTTTTTCTTGACCCGCGAAATTCGGTGCTTGCCTTCTCTGAATCAATAGATCTCTTCTGTTCATCATCTCCTGGGACGATATCCTGTCGAGTCGGATTCTGAACGGGGCGATTGGAAGCCAAGTCTAAACGCAGTTCAGGCTCCCACCTATGATCCACTATAATTGATCTATCTTGCCCATAAACTACCAAGCGTCTGACCACGATGTTGGAATTTGTCTTCATCGACTGTTTTGGAGGAGATGCTTTCTTCGGAGAGACACTTCGTTTTGGCTTTGTAGGTACTGAGTACAAACCTGCCGGCGGTAACGGCAGGGACAGTCTGCGATCAAACGGCGGAAATGACAGGTGTGGTGGCCGAGATTCCTGATATCCATGGAGGTTTGCGACTTGTGGTAACATGTTTGGCTTGTAGCTCTCGGGAGCTCCGCAGAAGTTGGGCCCCATACCGGACATGGTGTAGTCTCGACGCGTGTATTGGCTTTCGGGTAAGCCACCACGTGGTTCTCCAGGCAGAGAACCCGCATGCGGCCTATGACTTGAGGGTGCTTGCCTGAGCCCTGGTAAATGTGTAGGAAAAGGTGATGCGTACTGGTGACCTGGGCCCTGAAAAGCCGTGGGAAAGCGATCGAGCGGACTAGACGTCAGGCCGGCGTTGTCGCCCGGTATCTGACGCATGAGATCACTGGGTGCGACTCCTCCCAGTGTTGGATCCGAGAATTGAAAGGTATATGGTGATGGGAGCATGTGAGGCGTTTGCGAGTTTGGGGTCAGATCTGGATTCATCATCTTCGGAGTGAACCCTGCACGCGACGTGAGCTCCGCTTCTGAGATGCGTACTGCGTCGTGCGTATGCGCTCGTCCAGTCTCCGGTGCGCGCGGTATGTTGGAGGTATCTGCACTTCTTCGAACTGGTGAAGACGTAATTCTTGCATCTGTAATGTTTGGTGCTATCAGTGCTGGAATGCTTGATCCGACACCGGCGAGTGGTGGACTTGACAGCGTCAAGGGTTCCATGGTTAGAGCTGATGGCAAGACAGGTGACATATCCCGCATCGTCTGCACTCCGGACCGGAGAGCCCGTTTCTTTGTATGAGACCCATACTCTGGATCGCTGTCGCCTTCTGCATCGACGTCGATGACCTCTGAGCTCGGCTCGATGGTATCTTGAGGTTCCGCGTCACTCTCACTCTTGCCAGGCGCATCGACACGTAGATGCATAGTACTGCCGTCGGCTCCGAGCACGAACGGGTAACTCTCGTCAATCATGCGCTTCGGTGCCTTCAAGTAGCCCACGCCGCTAGTGAGCTTCCTACCCTCTCCAGATGTGATGACCACGTCAATGACTCCGAACGTCTTTCCACCCGGTCTCTGCATAGTGTGTACTTGCTCCGGCATCTGCGTTGTCGCAAGCGCGTGGAGGAACTCGGCAGTAGGAGGTATGTTGCCTTGTTCGTCGGTACCCCGTTCGCGTGCTTCAGCTTGGAGCGCCTGGCCAATGTGTTGCCAGCGCTGTTCTACCGAAGGTGGTGTGTTCTTCTTCGCAGTACTGCCATCTGCGGCGACTCCGGGTGGCAGGATGAGCCATGGCCGCTCAGCGAGAAAGTCGACTCTAGTGCCCGCGAAAACCTGGTGATGGTCTTTCGAGCCAGATTTGCCGTCGTAGTTGGGCATGGCCAAACATGCGGCGAGTGTTCCATTGAAGAAGACTTCGATCTTGAGCGATGTTCTCTGGTTGTAGAGGCCGGAGACATAAGTCTGGTCGGAGAGGTTGACGTGGAGGGTAAGTGCTTTCAGTGTGCGCTGCGAGACATCTGGGAAGCTATCGTTAGCCGCGGTGGTGCTCTTAGTATTAGGCAGAAGATGCGCACCCTTGGTCGCTCCCTGTACATCCCTAGAAGCTTCATCTTCGTATATGTCATTCCCGACCCGGGTCTGCATGAAAGGCGCTTGTGCAAGCCAGTTGAGCTGGAAGGCAGCCTCATCACCGGGGAAAGGCACTTGCTCTTCCTTCAACAACTTGCTCCCCAACAGCCTCTTTTCAGCCAATGCAGACTGCTGCTTGGCTGCCTCCCCCTTTCTCAGTATGATCTTTGCTGTAGTCGTATCACTGAGCGGAATCGCGCCCAGGCGCACCGAGACGCCACGCGCGAAGTAGGTAGGCATATTTGCAGGTGAAAGAATATACACGTATTATGACATGGCCGTCGCAAGAGGCAATGCCGCACTGCCCGGCGATTGGAAATTCTCGAGTCGGTTGGGTGCGGTAAGGCCGTCTAGAGCGTGTCGAGCATGGTGGGGGTGTATGGGGGACGCGTTGCGGTGACCGAGCGCTGCTGAAATCGCGTGACGTATATCGTGGGCTTCCGTTTCCGGCAGGTACCTCCAGTGCTCTTTCCGCGCACTCGTCCTCGCCGCCGTGGCCAGACTTGCGTCAATACACATCCTACCTGACGTATGGCAATCTTAAATGTACACAGGTGCCATGAAAGTGGATTTGGCTATGAGAATATACACGCGATGAATAAAAGTGATGGAGATGCAAATCAAGCAGCTTTGAGAAACCCCGACGCGCCGGCAGACCATGTAGAGAGAAGACTGAGTGTAACCATCCCAATCGTAATGAGTCATATGCGCACGAGGAGATACTTACAAAGAACGCCTAGTTTGCGTATGATTTCGCCTCAAACGGGTGCGCAGCTGACGGCAGCCGATACCATACATCAGAGCTCGACTTCACCCCCGGACTCAACGAAGCCTCCGCCGCTTCTTTGCTGCTCGGTGCCGTTGACGCCCCAGTCGTCGGTAATGATGCCAATCGGTGGACCGCCTAGGACATCGCCTAACTCGCCTATAGTCTTTTCGTACACACTCGCAACACCGCGCTCTTCCCAGTCCTCATCTTCCTCATCGTCGTCATTATCCTCGAAGCCTTCAAAAGTCACAGCGCCTTGACGCCCACCTGCCTCTGCCTCTGCCTCTGCCTCTTCTTCTGTATCCGTGTCCATAGCCTCACCTACATCGCCCTCGTCACCGACCACGCTGTCTCCGCTCATTACACGGGTGACCGTGAGCCTGGTCCGGTCTACAACGCCCTTCAAGCGAACCTTGTCCGTTGTGGTGACTGTACGACCATTCTCAAACCCAGGTAAGAACTCTCCGGTCGCAGTATCGTGCCCGGTAAGTAAAGAGGAGAAGGCGTAGTCGAGTTTCGAGAGAAGACGGAAAGTAGCCTGAGCGGAACGCGTTGAGGAATCGAATAGTGGGAGGAAGTCGGCGGTGAGGACGGCGAGGTTGAGCAGATAGGGTATCTGGAGGTTCGGTGATCCAGATACCCAGACAACATCTACCAGGCCATCGAGGTCTTTTGCGACTTCCCAGAACGCCTTGTATCCTTCCTCCTCGCCCGGCGCTGGCTTAAGCTTTCGGTTCGTCATGCGGTTGTCCACTCGCTTCTGGATGCTGTTGACGCCATGGTCGAGGTAGCGTATCAGATCAGATTCCCTCGGGCCGCCGGGCTTCAACGGGTGTTTGCGTGCTTGTGGGAGGGGCGACGCATGCTGTGACGGCGCGGACGACGCTGGAGGAGTAGGGATTTCGGCCATACTAAACACCCGGAGCCTACGTTGACTTTAGATCGCCTGATTTGCATAATTTTATCTTAATGTAGGCTGCAAACCTGTTCAGCTTTTCCGTTGTGCAAGGTGATAGTGTGTATATGGTTCCAGGGTTTTGTTCACCGTCACGGTGGTAGGTGAAGACGCAAGGCAGTGGGCGAGGGGTGAGGTGCAATCGTCATTCTACGCCGTAGGGTGAGCGCGTTCTTCTTCGTCGCGTGCGGGATCGACCCGCATCGTGAATTTTGAGCTGAGAAGTTGCACTGGTGCTGCGATAGCTGAGCGCGGAGCTCCTGATGGCGAGATGACGTTCGCGGAAGGTTCCTCCGTCATCCCAGCCCGTGCCCTGGATCATCCCGCAACACCACCTGCATCGACAGCAGAGCATCACCCAATTGTCGCCAAACCTCCGACACCGCATCTACCTCTGCCGTTGCTTACCATCAATCTGTTGGTGGGCTTTGTTTTGTCATCAGGTACTCCTATCACCGGAGAACCTGCAGTAGCTGAGGCAACGACAGTCACGCTCACGGCTTTTCCAACGGACACAGGATACGTTTCCGCTAGGAATGCGATACGAAGGAAAACTTGCATGCTTCGGAATAGCATGCCATCGGAGTTCAGCTGCTATGCCGTGTATCTCACAGCAAAGTAAGCCGCTGCCGCCATCGGCCCGTCCTGAGTGGCCAGGAGCAAGACAAGGGCGCTGATTAATCACCACCGCGCCCTTCTCCAACGCGTGCGCGTGCGCCCTACATGCAAGTTTCATACGTCCGCGACGCCGATATGCATGTCTAATTAAGCCGCCAACAATCAACCATGTCAGTATACTTATGATGGTCCACCAGGCGTCGCCCCTTTTCTGGAAGTTTTCTTAGCTGCAAGAAAGGGAAAATTTGCTAACAAACGCAACTTCGGAGAGCCCCGATTGTTGGATGAGGTTGAAACGCGACGTTTATTGACTCTACCACTTAACGGCATAACGTTGAAAATTTGCAATGAAGCCTATGACAAAAGGTATCCACCCGTCGTGTACTCTCAACGCGAGTAGTCAGGAACGTGTCGCGCTTGTTCAACTTTTGTGGCATGAGAACCTGTAGGGCTGGTTTGAGGCACATAACTGACCGCCAGAGTACCGCTATGGTTGGTGGGCGGGCCGCAAGCTAGCACGTTCGCGACGGGCAAGATCACAGAATCTGAGAAAAGCACATTCGAGACCATGTAACTTGTGGAGACGTCCTGATGTCGTCCAGTACTCAGCTTTGCGGAAATGTAGAGACAGGCACCTGTATGGGCTTAGCGCACGACGCTATTGGAGTCAAGGGCGTGGTTTGTGATGGATGCAGGATGACTCCCCCGCGTATCCGACGGCAAAGCAAGCCATCGCTCAGCGCATCATCCATCTGCAGCATGCAACCTTCTCATCACCTACCAGCCCTAGTTTTGTGCCGCTTGCAAATGACTCAACCCAGGGCGTGCCTGAGTGCCATGTATAAGACAACCTTAAGGCCCACTTGTTTGTGGTGCAGTCCTGGAGCAGACGTCTTATCTTCACTCGCCACCTACTAGTCTGATCTCTGCCTATTTGCACTACCCCAGCTGCCCAGCTCTCAGCTTCTCCGCATTCGAGACGTCTTATCTGAGCAGGCTTGTTCCCCGCTTTCTGGTGCGACCTCGCCTTGGCTATTGCGACTAGCAAGCCGACCTTAAGGCACGCGACAGCATCGACATGTCTTCTTCATCGAACACATCAGTGTTTGCGCCACCAGACAGGATGCAGGCGCTGGGCAATCAAATCGGCTACAAGGTCCGCAACATCTCGCATCATGGCCAGCCTACCATCGTGATCGATCTCAACGACAGCAATGGCCACTGCCACAAGTTCATCACAAGCTATTCTTCCATGGATACTATCGAGGGCACAGTCACCATCACTGCACCGCACGATACTCGTTTTGAGGATATCGACATCGCATTCACTGGTAAGCATAGATCATGCACGAACTTAGCAATGATCGTATCTGACAGCATACAGGTACAAGCCAGGTATATGTGGATAGGATGACGACTACGCCAACAATGACAGGACGAACAGAGGCAAAGCACCGGTTTTTGACTCTTAGACAGCCAATAGACCAATCAAACTTCCCCTCCCCAAGAATTTTTGAAGCTGGAAGACCCTACAAGTTTCCCTTCACATTTACCATCCCTTCGCAACTACTACCAAAAGCCTGCTCGCATACAGTAGTCTCGGACCACATACGCGAAGTACATCTCTCACTACCACCCAGCATTGGCGATCCCGATCTTGCTGGTTTTGGCAGTACACTGCTTGACGACCTTGCACCGGAAATGTCAAAGATCACCTACGGAATCCAAGTCAAAATCGCGCACACCCGCGGATCAGAAGGCATCTCGGTGCTTGCTGATAAGCTGAAGAAGGTGCGCGTGAAGCCAGCCTTTGCAGAGCAGCCCCCGCTGAACATTGACCACAATGACGAGTACCGATCGCGACAGGAAAAGACAGTCAAGAAGGGTTTGTTCAAAGGAAAGCTCGGGACATTGTCTGCGAAGACTATTCAGCCGCCGCCTCTTGTCATTCCGGGCGCAAGATCAACAGAGGGCAGAACGATCACGACTATGGCCAAGTTAGTTCTACGTTTTGATCCCACAGAGGAGACCAGCGCACCACCGAAACTCGGTTCATTAGGAACAAAGATGAAGGTCGTGACCTACTACGCCTCAGCTCCTAGGCAGAATCTACCGACGCGGTCTACGCTCGGGTTCGATCTGTCGCAAGGCCTGTACTCCGAGTACGTGCCGCTGTCCAATCTTTGCATCGCCTCCGCCCAATGGGAAAAGCACGATGCGGCACAAAACCCTAGCCCAGAAAGCCTAGTTCGACGCGACTCTGGTATTAGCGATTGCTCAACTCTGAGCGAAGCGGAGAAGGCCTTTGCGATTGGCATACTACCTGCATCCAAGGATTACAAGCAAGGTGCCTTCTACACAGCACAGATCTTGGTGCCAATCACGCTTCCTATGACACAAAACTTTATACCGACATTCCATTCCTGCCTCATCTCACGAACATACACCCTCGCGCTGCAGTTCTCCGCTCACGGAAGCTCGAGTATACACCTCAAGGTCCCGATCCAGATCTGCGCCGAAGGCAGTGATACTGGTATTGAAAATGCTAGGGCGAGGAGTGTTGAGGAGACGGCATTCAGAGCTGCCTCTGATGTCTTTGCTCCACGCAGCGTTGCGCCTCCGAGCCCTGAGACGGCTCGCAGCGCAAGTGTTGGTACGCGAGAAGAGATGCCGCCCGGCTATTCAGCTTTTGCGCCGCCCAGCACGAGGTACAGCGTGAGCCATTCAATCGTGACCTGATGATGTTCCAGGTTGTCACGGGAGGATCAGTGACGAAATCAAGATAATTTTTGTTGCGCAACACACTGACGATTATCGAGCGATGTTTTTCTTGGAGAAGGATTTCGCTTTTCGGCGTCTTGGTATGGAAGAGTGGCAGGGTTTTCATTCATCGCACCGCAGCTCATACTCTTTTGGAGTCGCCTTTTTCTATCGTTAGATCGCTCACCAGATACCCATACATGTAGTAATGAACTTAATACGTTGTCAATCTCATGCTAGTTGCATCTTCTGCTCTTACCCGTTTCCCAAGATAGTGTCATCGTGTCTTGGCACGTCCGTGCTGGCCCTCGGCAGCTTCCCAATCATTTCATCCTGTGGCACCACATCAGCACACCATCACTCACGAGCATCGCTTCTCATCAAACCAACGCAGGGAAATAATGGCCGAGCATCCGTCTTTCACATTGGCAGGCTTGTGTAAGTGCTACGACGCCATCTGCGTGTCTGGGTGTATGAGAGCTGACTGAGAAATGATGTGCAGTGGCCGTCGGAGGAACTGCTGGCTATCTCCGAACACGCTCAACACCAAGCCTTGTCGCTGGAATCGGATTGGGTGCTTCGTATGCTCTTGCTGGTAAGCTGTTTAGCCCATAGGCTGTGTTTCCGGCTGCATTGGACGTATACAGCTGCTTGTGAGCGCTTCAGCTAACCTGCGATCCAAGGCTACCGTATCAAGCAGAACCAGGATTACGGCACTGAACTTGCGCTTGGCAACAGCATCATGTTGATGGGCTCTGCGATACCGCGCATCATGAAGACCGGCGGACGCGCGCCTGTACCGATCGCTCTGGGTGCGACTGGTGCGCTGGCGACTTACTACTACCAGAAGAAGGTACGCGAGTTCAGGTATGGTGTCTGAGAAGCATTCAGTCTCTTTGAAAAGAGGGCTATCATGAAACGGCGGTGACGCCTTGTACAACTACTCAGGGTGGCTATATACTACCCTGCTCTACTCTTGAGTATCAATACCCCACTCCCATTCTCTTCTACTGAGTATATCCTCTCCCGCGCCGTTCCTTCATCTCCGATGCCCTCAAGCTTCGGGCTTCGCTGCGCAATCATCATCATACCATCAAGCTGTACCCATGGACCCGGTGCCATCCAGTACCGCAGTGTTTGATATATGCCAAAGCAAGACGACAACAGCACAATCGCGAGGACGGCAACGGCAACCCACTCCCAGCCTAGACGCGGACTGGACCCGTACAATTGCCATTGAATTGGATAGGATACAATCTTATCCTCCGATTGCGAAGGCAGAGATAACGGAAGAGGAGACCAGTACTTATTGCTCATGCTGAGGATGTTCTGGAATAGGATCCCTATGATGATCGACAGGCCAATGGCGTCGGAGTTCACAAGTGGATCGATTGCCTGTAGGTTGCGACTCATCAATAGGAATTGCGGCAGCAATCTTGTCGATGGAACCAATAGCTCAAGCCTCGGCATGACGTCCCGTGCCTGCATGCCTACTTCATTGGCAACATCAAAGTCGCTTGCAGTCGTGCGGTCGTAAACGATCTTCTGGTTCAATTCAGCGCCGTAATGGTTAAAGCTAAGGTCGGGACTTTCCCTATCCACGATCCACACATTGACTGCGTATAATCCGTGTCGGAACAAGCTGGAACAAGTGGCACCGGCAAAGCCTAGGGATGGAACTGGTCCAAAATCGGTTATGATCACGGCTTCCGACGATTCGTTTCTAGCTGGCGGCCGCACAACGATTGACGCCTCCGGGTTCAATGACTCCATTGTCGTGCAGACAGTGTTCAATACTGGCAGTATGAGCGTCAGGTTACCGGTCCAACCGATCGATGAAGATGTTGGCTGATGGTCCGTGTTCCTGAGCCAGTCGTAGACACTGGTTACTTGCCCATCGTCTGCGGAGGCCGTCTCGACTGACCCATTTGATAGGCCGAAGTCGGTATTGAGTGCAGTCCAGCGCTTCCATGAATCTCCGTCCAGCCGGTAATTATACACATGCCTCCAGCCTTTCCGCGTTTCCTTTACCGTGGATACAACATGCGTTAAGCCGGTGAACGCGAGAGAAGCGGACATGCCGAGCGCCCAGTCCCATGGTGGGTAGCCTTCCCCTCCAATATTGGATTGGCCGACACCGAGGATGTTTAGCCAGTCCACGCCGAGGAGTGATACTTTGGGATACTCAATCCTCATTGTCGTTCGGTCATGTGCCGTCGTTTTCCAACCGTTCTGGTAGTTAGGATACCAACGCTTCTTTGGTATAGCCACAGTATTCACGGCCAAGCCTTGCAACATAACCGAGACAGATACGCAAAGACAAAGCAAACAGCGAGCAACGCTCTTCCAGCTCAAGCTAGACCTTCGCCACCTTGTGACAAAACTGCTGACAGTCATCCACGGCTTCGTCAACTCCTCTCTCAAACCAAAGTCGCTGTACTTCACACCACGCGTATCACCCACTACAGGCGTCTGAGCCATCCAGACTGTGATAAAGAATGAAGCCATATATTCTAAAGAGCTCACCAAGAGGACATCGAGGCTTTTGTTGAAGAAACCAAGAAAGGCTAGCTTGAGATCCGCATCTACTTCTTCCCCAAATACACGGCTCAGGCCTATGGAGATGTATCTGCGCATCGCTCCGAGCGAGATTCCGGTGACGACAATTCCGATGGCAGACATACGAATGGCTAGCATCCAGTAGTCGGCGAACTTCAAGCCCGGTCGGGTCGCCACAGCTGGACGGTGTCTGATCTTGGCGTATATATCCTTGGCGACTACCACGAATCTTTCTCTGATGGCACTGTCAGTTCGAACGAGATGCAGCTGCCGGGCTATTACTTCAAGGCTATCATCATTTTGTAGCCGCGCATCCTGTTCGACAAACTCTTCGCTGGCGCTTTGGGAGCCATATTCTTGATCTGTACACAAATGGCGTTTCGTCGCTACGCGTCAGTCGCGAGGCTGTTGGTTTTCGCAAACGATTTCAAGAAATATCAGAGGCTCAAGGGCGGTTATATCTTCCATGGTAAGCATGCAAGGCTGAGAATGTGGCGAGGCTGAAAGATATACATATGGCGTGTTGGCTGCATGCATGACAGCCACAAGCTGCACGAATGTCCTTATCTGTACGACAAGACATGCGCGACTTCCACGAATCACACCCTAGAGAGAGGTAAAAGCCTGGTTTCTCCACCATTGACAAGGTTCGAGGCGAAGAATATCAACCACATACAGGTACAAGAGCAACGCGTCATCCAAGCCAGCGGATGCTACGACAAGCGACTACGACTCTTTCCGTCAACTGTTGGAGGCGTCGCAAACTTTAAGCGGGCTAGGAGTGCCAGAGTCTGTCCCCACAGAAGTAACTTGTGAGCCGAGCGTGCCACGTTCGCCTTCCGCGCGTCCCTTTCTCGCCGAATGGCCAGCAAGCGACTCCCATTTCTTTGCGCCAACCCCGTTATAACCGCCAAGACCACACCCAGAACACCGCTTGCATCAATATAAATCCACATGCACACCATCCATCGGGTATATGCCAATAGTGTATGTCTGCCTTTCCGCTCCGACAGGCTCGTTCGAAACCCCAGAGGCAATCCGGATATTTGGAAAGACTTGGAGAATTCGAATCACCGCATAGCTAGCTTCCATCAATGCGTAATCCTCTATCCGGCATCAGCATTTCGCGACTCAGAAATACACCGTTGTTCGCTTACTACCTAGACAAAGTCTTGGGCCGCCATTGAAGTCGACGAATCCAGCGCCTCGACGAGCCTTCTTAATCAACTCGCCACTCTCCCACCTTTCTGGCCGGAACACTCTTGCGTCTAGACCATAGATAGACTCAATACGGTGTAGGTGGTATACCGACCAGACGATCCTGGCGCCCTTAGGCACGAGGACGGGGGAAGTGCCATCTGGGCCTCCGCCTCGGGGCAATACGGTAGCTTTGTTCGTAAAGCGGAGATTCATCGGCAATGTTGGGTACAGTCGCAAGACTACATTCGTCAACGCGTGTCAGAAATCTGGCAAATGTGAAAGATGTTCAAGATGGACTGGGCTTCGAGACGTCAATGACATGCGCGTCGACACCACGTATCCAATATTCGATTATAGGTAATTACAGCAAAATTCTATCTCCTCATTGCACGTTGAAGTCATCTCCATGCAAGAAAGTCCAAATCCAATCATGACTACCTTGCCGAGCTTGGTATTCCAGCTTCACGTTCATGGTCTTACCGAGTCTCCCCTTCATCTTGTCCAACCCATCTAGTAATTCCTTAGTTGCTTCAGCATTGTACCCATAGTACGATATCTGAACTTGGGTCAACGCCGGCAGCTTCTTCAATTCCTTGGCAAAGTGTCTCGACATCCACTTTCGGAGTATGTACTCATAGCGGCCAAATTGTACCACATGAACAGCCTTTCGCTGAGAACTTGTCGCATGGTTGAGCCAATACATTAAACTGCCAAAGTGGTAAAAGCGAAAGACGCTGATATGGCGGGAGTACGCAGCAGCTTCCGAGCAGATCTGGCGGCTGACACGAAGGATGGCGAAGCGGTGCCTTGGTGCGGGGAATTCAGACGCACGCTCTTCAAACACGGATCTATATCTGAGCGGTTTGAGAGGTCCACCCCATGCTGGGCGGATGATAGGGTTTCCGATAGCGAGCTTCCAGATCATGGCGCGGATTTCGGCAGGAAGTCGTAAGAGGGGCGATTCTTTGGCGTTGCGCTGTACGCTACACTGGCATTAGTATTGTAAATTTAGATGTGGTGGTGCTGAGCTTACATAGCAATCTCGCTACCGGTGGGTTTGACATTGAGTAGGCCGTCTCTGGATTTTCTGTAGCCGCGCTTTCCTCGGCGAGGCTTGTCGTTAGGTGTGTCGATCTGAGGAGTAGTTTGAGCGGCCGACATGTTGAGTTCAAAGTATAATGGATGCGTTGGTAGGGCGGTGGAGAGAAAACAATCAAGCCAAAGATATTCTTTTATATCATAGCAAAGGGCTGCTTAGGGTGAAAGATCGCCCACTCTGGGATATGATAGATCTATACTGCTAGTGAAAGGAAATACGAAATGAAAAGAGTTTTGTGGGTAAGATGGGGTATTTGACTCGCACGTTCGCAATGAAACCAGACCACTTTCAGTGTACCTTTGCCAGAGGAGAAGAAAAATAGCAACCACCTCAACCCTTAGAAGTACAAGGGCTGTCTCTCACTCCTGACGAATTTGATCTCGCTGTTCTCTGTCTCATACAGACCTTTCATGAACTGCCAACCGCGTTCTTGCAGCTTCTTGCCATCTTGCGTGAAATCTCTTATCACTATGCCCACAACAAGCTGTACGTTCTTGAGAGAGGTCAAATTTGAAGACAGTCGCTTGTCTCCGTGGTCGACCATGATATCCCACATACCTGGTATGCCGTCGTGAAGGTCGAGCCATTGCTCCGGAGGAGAGGACGCTACGCAGGGATAGAGGCGTACCGAAGTGACAGCTTCAGCAAAAACCGAGGGAAAGTATTCGATCCACATATTGAACACCTGGGGATGTATAGCTGAGAAGGTGTTCGAGCTGAAGGGTAGCAAAGCGGTTTCAGCAAAGACTTGTCGGCAGACAGCGAGCAGAGCAAGGGTGTTCTTTGAGACCGTCATATTCTTTGCGATGCCTTGATATTCGTTGTAATCGATGTGGAATGTCTTGCCACCAAGTGCGTATCCGAAGATCAAGTGGCGAATCTCTGCTGGCAACCGCAACAATGGGGAGTTCCGCTGGTTCTGTCTCGCGCTGTGTTCAAGTCAGTGAACCACTTGAACCCAAGTCGATGGAAATACTGACATCTTGAGGTACTTCCCCGTCTTTTGCTCAACATTGAGCAGGCCGTTTGCATGAAAGCGAAGCTTCTTGTGACTGCGCTTGGCTACTCCTTCACCAGTGGAAGCCTTCATGCTCTTGGCGACGGTCGCAGTCTGGTTAGGCATTCGGGATGCCATAACGAGGTTGTCGATGATTTGGAAAGTGTAGAGTAGATGTGTAAGGAAAAGAGTAGAGTCGAGTTCTACTTGTGGGACTGTCGGGCCTAGCGGTCAGGTAAAGGCGCAGGTCGGGCTTACTAGGTGAGTCAGAAGAGATGAAGTACCTGAGACGAGCGTGATGTAGGAGGCGAAGGTGGGTGAGACGAGATATAATGTCAAGTAGCAGCACGAAGTAGATGGTAAAGTCCACTAACCATCCTCGTCTCCAACAGTAACGGCGCTCGCTCACACATGTCGCGTGAGGTGAGCGACGATGCGGCGTGAATTAGGTAGCAACCCATACCCAGTGATTCGTATCACCATCAACATCGTTCCTCCCCTCGCCAATCTCTGATCACTGCCACGTGCTTGCCGATTCGCTCAACGCACGGTCACACGCTAGTCTTACGCTGCTGCCTTCGTAGTAGTCCTCCGCTGCCAGGTCTTTCGCCGCTTTTACCTCAAAGGTCAATCCATCTCTTGATTGTACCCCAACCCAGAACACCGCGCATTGCTGGAACAACCTCAGTAATTCCGACGACCTGAACCATCAATGGCGCCCCGCAAGACCGCCGCCGGCGACAAAGCTCCGAAAGCACCTGTCACCAAAAAGTCCGCAAACAAAGTCATCAAGCGACCGGCGCGCGGATACCACAAATTTCGAAATGGCTTACTGAATGTCACGCCCAAAGGTGATGAAAAAGAGCTGTGAGTGTGACCAGTCTTTCTGTAAGAGCAACAGCTAACCGTCTGTCAGCGTCAAACAAAATGAGAGTTCTCCGCTGCTTCGTATGCCTGCTGAAATCCGCAATACAGTCTGGAAGCTTGTGTTGGGAGGGAAATTGTATAAGACAGATGCGAGAGGGAAATTCTATCCTTCACTAGCAGAGCCGAAGAACGCCACTGCTCTTCTGAGAACCTGTCGTCAGATCTACTCCGAAACCGCAATCATGCCGTTGGCTCTCACGGTGTTCTCCATATCTTCTGTCCAGCGGGCAAAGAGATCCTTCGGAAGATTCAAGCTACGGCAGCGCAAACAAATCACGATACTACAATTCGACATCGTTTCGCCCGAAAGCGTCATAGAGCTCACAGAGTTCTTCTTTGTGCGCAACAAGTTTATACTTGCTGACTCGCTGCCCGCATTGCAAGAGCTGCGAGTTGAAGTATACTCGGCCCAAGATCCAATTATGACCCGCGAGAAAACGGAGGAGGCTGTACACGAGTACCTCGAACCAAGCATCCGAGAAATGTCGGTCGAAGTAAAGGTACACCAGACCAATCGACCATGGTCTGGTCGTTGAAACTTGTAAGTCGACCAGATATGAAGCTGTGCGCATAGAACCATGCTAATGAAGCTATAGTCGATCCTGCAGTCCTTCGAATCACTTGATAATGAGATTTTTAGGCTATCTCATTCGACGGGTTGGAGACGGTTCACTCGCTGAACAACTCAAGTCCAACACGGCAGGAGCACTCACGTATAAAATAACGACACTTGACAGCGTTGCGGCGACCTCCCATTTAGCTACTTATCAAAAGTTTTTGCTGGATATTGAGCTTTCTTGTCTTCGATATTAGTGCTATTCTGGATAAGGTACCAGGGAGATAGATTGAAGACGCTGCTTTCATGACTTCAATGAAGATTTTGTTCTCACAACGGTATACCTAACTGATTGCTGGAATGCAATCAATTCTGCCGATTCTTATAGATTGTAGGTGCCGTGACCGTGGTCCAGAGAAGTCGCTAGATATGCCTCGGCGCAACCAAAGCTGCTGATCAGCTATGCGTCTCTTTCCCGCCTTCCGGTACATGTCGTTGTCTCAACTTCTTGACCCTGGTTCTTGTAACAGTCAGTACAATGATACGGATAGTATGTTGTGTGGTTGTGGAGAGAAGTGGTGCTCAGTGAGAAGATTATGAGTCGTCTTGGAAAGCGCCAGACGAGTCAAGAGATCAGGCCGCAAGCAGTCTTTCACCCTCGTCTCAAGCCTGTCGCCGGCTACGCCTAAGGATGATAACTAGGGTTTCATCATTGCATATGGGGGTGAAGAGAGAAGAGTACCTACGACTTGAGTCCGGCTGAGTGTTGTATCTGTTCCAAGCCAGCAGTTGGGGTGGAGGGGCTGCTGCATTGAACAATAGGTTGCCCATCAGTTGTCGTTGTTGTCGATTCAGTAGTCCAAATCGAGGGTCTCGTCCTTTTGCACGTCGGGCCCGTTGGCCTGGTGCCAGGCGTCCCATTCGTCGCTTCCATCGTCACTATCGCCGCTGTCTGCGCCGTCGCGCCCACTCCGTCTGCGCGGCAAGCCTCTCTCCAGCCTTCTTTCTTTCCTCCTCTTCGCGTATCTATCCCGCTTTCTCTTGGCCTTGGCTTTTGATGTGGCACTGTTGGTCGCCCACTGTTGCTTCTTCGGTTCTGCAGACGCATCAGGCAGCGTCTTGTCGACATCAGCCGTGCGCGAGGGGTCTTCTTGCGTGGGTGGAACAGCCGGCGCTGGACTTGCAGAGACAGCGTTGTCGTCAGAGATTTCGCCATTTTCCTTCCGTACTCGCCGTTTGCGGAGCATTGCATGGATTTCGGAGTGTCGAAACATGGCGATTTGCTCGTCGGTCAGGGTGCGCTTCGTGCCGTCGGGGTAGTAGCCCAGCCCATCGTCGGCTTCGTCGTAGTATCCTTCAGCTACTTCTACCTCTGGCTCGAAGCCGTGAAGTATGTGTTCTGGCGGCGGCGCGTGTGGAAAGTGTTGCGCATGGAAGGCGCGTAGGTCGTCCTGGGCTACTTAGCGACTGGCTACGGGCGCGATACTTGACTGCTGCACTCACGGTAGTGACGGTTAGTATCTGAAGCTCCATGGCGGGTATTTGAAACTCGGAGCGACTGGATTAGACGCGCTCCAGGGCGCGGGGTGTCACGTTGGTGAAGGCATGTGAGGAAAAGAAGAGTTGGTCCCCAAGCTCGGAAGGCCCCCGTGGACCCGTCGCGTGGTCACGAGGTCTTGGCTTCACCGCGGCATGACGTCTGTGCTCCCATCTTCAACGCCGCGTTCACCCAGAACCTGTAACGACACCCTAATGCACCATCTGGAACGATCATGAAGCCCGCATCTTTCGTCGCATATCCCCTCGCAACCATCGCCCTCACCCTTGCCACGTCTGCGCAAGCCCGCCCCTTCGACAGCATCATCCAGTCGTTCAACATCCTCAGCGAACAGTCACCTCTCCGAGACTACATCATGAGCAATCCTGAAGGCCAGGCGACTACTGGCGTCATCATATCCGATGTTATCGGCAAGACGCAGAACATCGCCATCTTCAGCGGCCTAACACGTGACATCGACGCAGTCTCCGGCCGCCTCGACAACGCCTCGCAGAATGCCACAGTGCTGGCACCGAATAACAGCATCATGCGCGACCTGAAGAGGAAGCCCTGGGAAGACCCCGACGACTACGATAGTTTTGGCGCGGACGCATACGAGGGCACCAGCGGCCAAGACCGAGCGCGGGGCAACCTCGAGCGCTTTGTGCAGCGCCACATCATACCAGAGAGCCCGTGGGAAGAGGGCAAGAAGGTCAAGACGCTTGCGGGCAATGAAATTTGGTGGGAATCCAAAGACGGCCAAAAGAAGGTAAGCCATGCCGCTATGTCGGTAGTCCCGCCCTCTGGTTGGCACTGCCCCACCATTCGTCCCACGCCCACACAGCCATCGATATATTCGTATCTCGCTGTCAACTTTCCATCAATTCCCTGTAGAGGACAGATGGCCGAGCTGGTTATGGCGCCAGGTTAAGGTTTCTTAACATTAAGTCTACGGTATTTCATTACCTCCAAGACATCCTGGTCACGAAAGTGGCGTGGGTTCGAGTCCCACTCTGTTCAGCATTCGTCTGGCTATAGTCAGATACTCCAGGATCTTTTTTTGCCCATGTTTTGGTCATTTTTGGCCATTTTTGGATTTTTGCTCGCATTTACCCAGCGACTAACTTAACCTGGTCCAAACTCTATATGTTCCCAGCTAACACAAGCCTACAGATTCAACCTGCCGACGTCGAAGTGACCAGCATCGCCGACAAGGTATCCAATGGCGAGGTTTGGGTTCTTGGAGGCTCTCTCGGATAGACATGATAAACTTATAAGATCCCACCAGTCGCACCGGTGACATCGCATCCGCTCTTATCCGATTTTTGTTCTTACGGACGATCTATTGCGATTGTACGTACTTGTTTCATGTCGAGCATTAGACGGTATTATGACAAGCCAGCTTCAACTTGGTGGATGTCACGGCCCCTATAGATTATGAACCTTCTTCACGATGCATTGTGTTCTGATGTATTTGCTCGCTACGCTGCATTCAATTCGTACCTACTGTTGCAGATCCTTAGCCCAACGACCTTCTTCTCCACTTGGATAAGTCATGAGGCCAGGCGTGATGTCAGATTCTGTATGGGATTTGTCTGAGCGTACTTGCTCTCTTCTGCGAGACCAAGATTTCGAGCGTCATGCACATAGCCGCAGTAACAATGGAAAAGGCTGCAGTGATGAACGAGGTGTTCAACCAGCCTCGATTGGCACTCGGAATGACAACGACGAGGCTGAAAACTTCAGGATAGAGGCGGTGTAGGCTCCCATAACCACCAATCCTGCTTGAACAACGCGAAGACTCATGGGCCATGGATCATCAGTCGAGGAGGGCCGGTACAAGATGTCATTCGGCCTCTAATTGTGTAATGGTTGTCTTCGCTGTCTATCAAGGCCGAAGGATCCGTCCGCACTGCAGACTTGGGCGCTTGTCATCAATTCTGGCATCGTGGTGGTGGCAACATCATCGCAAATAGCCAGGCGCAGGGCTTTTGGTGCAGTTGACGTGGAAGCCTGGACACCGCATCGTAAGAAGGCAATGTCATGAGCGTATTGTTCTGGTAGATGCAGCCCATCGTGATCCGTAGAACGCCATTGTCGCACAGCATCTACTGCTGCGAGGCAGAGTCATCTGATACCGCGGAAGCGCGCCAGCGGCATACAAGAAATGTCGATCCGGGGCCATTTTGTCGCTGTTAAAAGACTTCGGGGTTCTATTGCGCAGCAATCCGGGATGAATTGTGCTTGTTGCCTTACTTTCATTCGCGCACTCTCTGTGAGCCGCTCCCGAAGTAACAGCGGTTCTAGCTTGCCGGTTTGAGAGCGTAGATGGTGACTCTCGACGGCGGGGTTGTCGAGGTTTGGCGGTCTTCGGCCCCTAGGTTCGCTTGCCAACTAGCAGGAGCACTAAAGTCAAGAGCTTCAGCGCTGCTTCCCCATAGCCGTCAAGTCCAATCCTTGACGATATCCTTACGACTGCAAACCTTCCCGCGCGGAGCTTTCGGCACGGGTCGAGCCAGCCATCATAGCGTGTAATGATCAACTTCCAGGGGATGTTCCCTCAGCATGCATGTCCACACACCATCCCACGACCCCGGTCGACTCTTTTAACGCACCAGCATAGCCTCCCAAGGCCACGGAATACAGCGCTTGCTATAGCCCTTGATCGCGCGTGAATTATACATGTGGCTGTCTCGATCCATGTGCAACCGCGTCGTTCCCTGAGCTCGTCGTCGAGCCTATTGCGATGTCTACAGTCCCATTTCCGGTGAGGACTTGCTTGCGTCCGATTGTTGTGGTCCCAGAGATGGCCTCAAGCGGTGTAGTGGACGGTGAGACATGGGGGCAATGATTCGATCTCTTGAAGGCCAACTCATGCATACTCTGCGCTTCGGCGCGGCATTCTGGTGTCGCATATCTGCCTGACAGCTCAGCATGAGGCTCTTGAGGAGTGAAGGGTGGCGACAGGTCCGTAGTCCTTGTTGCGATGCCATCTCTCATCCGATGGACAAGTCGACTGTCAGCGAATCGTACTTATACTACTGAAGGCTGCTGGATGGCAGCAGGACATCCTTCACAATATTTTCCAATATATCTTGCACTTATCCCAACAAGTCAATTCGTCGTCATGTCAAAGCAAGCCTGCTCTGAGCTCGGTGGTGGACCTTCGGTCAAGGAACGCATCCAGGCTCTATACGATCACCGCGACCGCTTCGGAAAGATCGCCGAGTTTCCACAAGCTGGAGTCTACCTGACAGTACCAGAAGATCTTGCTAGAGTTCGAGCATACGTGGAAAGCGAGGTCTTCCGATGTAGGAGAGCCGTCAACTGCTACCTGCAGAAGAGCGTACAGCCTGGGGAACCCTCCCCCACTGAGGCCACTCATAGGGAGGTAATGATGCCTTACGTCGAGGCTATACTACTTTTCGGTTTGTGTACCCGCGAGTTTGGAGTTGCCCCAATAGCTGATAGGGTTTGAAGGACGTGTTGTCGAAACTTCCGAGAAATTTACTTCGTCTTCGCCACCCTCGAAGAAAGCCATGGACTTTTGGCGCGCCTGCAATCGTGTTAAAGTGCCTGGTATACGCGCAGCAAACGGAGAAATAGCTTCACTGTTGTACGGCCAGCGCGGTCAACCTATACCGTATGATATGGCCACGGTGAAGGACGAAAACCTCTCGCCGATGGCGCAATTTATCTGCGATTGGGTCATGGACCCCTTGGTCAAATACATCTCTGGACCTCCTAGGGACCTCTTTTCGAAACTACCGATGTACAAGCGAAGGGTTCCGGTCGAGGGCAAAGACAGCAGTCGCCGGATCTTCACCAAGAGTACAGTAGAAGGCGTTGCTAACGCATGCGTCTACGTGTTGGCCATACTGATCTTGATCGCCCCGATCGCTACCTTCACCGTCGTCGGTGAACAGTCGCAAAGAATTGTGATCATTCCGCTATTTTGCCTGCTCCTGGCTGCATCAGCACAGTTCATGGGTACCAGCGCAACGCCTTCCTTCATAATGGTGATCGCGTAAGAATACACCATCACCATTTTACTCTTACCAGCGTGTACTGACATTGTAATAGATACTTCCAGGCGATGACCTTTAACTTAGATAACTAGAATAACGGTAGCTAGATGGGTGAGTGGTGGTGTTCTAGTTGTACCGCGACGGCACTGCACGCCTGGTTTCTTTCACCGCCTGTTCGGACTAAGACCAAAACGGAATGGGTCTGAACTCCACAACACCACGTATCGTACCCCCTGTATCAATCGAAACATCACGAGCTATCGTTTCAAAGTCTCCGAATTTCTCACCAGTTTACCCACAAAGACTTATGTGTCTAGCCACATATCCTGCGATTGTGCATCGGGCCGTTCAGCGATCCAGATATTGACATCCCAAAGCTGTTTCGACGCGACGCTGCCATGTCCAGTCTTCGCTGTTGCTAGCGGGTGACCTGTCGTCGCGTTCCTCATCATGGGCAAGTTTTATCTTGCGCAAACTCGACAATGCCTTCGTAGCTTCGTCGTATCAAAGGTGCAGCAAGCTTCAATGCTAAGAGGGCAACTATCTCGGGTGGTCGTGTCATGCGCTCGCCTGGTCTGCTACCGTCCTGATTCGCAAGGCTGCCTTCTGCTGTTTGTCTGGACCATCGATCCGTTTCCGATACCACTCAGCCACAGGTCGCTTAAAGACCCCCGGGGCCACCAGCACTCCTAATTTCAGGAATGATACAGCGCTAATATTTCTACTTCTCCAAAGAGACTACCTCGCAGTTTTGTTTGGACCAAGATCATTCCACCACAAGCTCCTCCGTTCACTCCAGATTGAGACCAGACGCGTCCTTCTCTTGCTGCTAGAGCGTCATGGCTGGCGAGCGTACCCTGCGAGACATGCCTCTGATCACTGAACGTGATATCGATGACATTGGTAAGCTTCACATGTCCATGAGTGATGCCCAGATAGAGCTGACTGCAACCCAGAGGAGGAGTTTACCACGCCGACTCCGCCGGCGAGTGAGGCACCTAAGAGCGACAACGAAAGAGGGAACGAAAACGGCAGCGACAGCACAGAACCCAGCAGACAAACTACATCCACACGCGGTGGAGCGCATGCAATAGCTCCACGATCACGCCGCCGGTCTCAGTAAACTCGGTCGACATTAGAGAAGCTTTATAACGCGTCGCGTCGTTGGTTCCCCTCCAATTCACTCTCACACGGACACGCACACACACACCCTGACACACATGTATGAAAAAGGCAGAAGGAATTCTGAATCCGTAGTCATCGGCAAAGGGGATGTAATATCTACGGAGACACGCTGCAGTCATCTTCTCATACAGCCAACCTGTACTTTGAGCAGTGCTCGTCAATCGTGTACGTAGCACTCAGGCAGCAATAGTTTACAGTATTTAAAGGGTGGCATTGTAGGTCGCTCTCGCAACCGGTGTCTCCTTCATGTATTTGCAGAGTGTGCAGGATCGTACGCGTGCAACAGGCCTTGGGCACTAAGACGAACGACAACGCAAAGCCACGATCTGCGCCTCGTAGTTCATCTCATGGACCCCCTCGCGGCCAGCTTGTAGTCATACGATGCCGTCTCCAGCAGCATCCCTGAACTGCTATCTTATGCGTATAAGTAAAACCTGGTCCTCCAAATCCATGGAGTTGCTACACTGGAGTTCAAAAGCAGACAGTCCAGCTTCTCAAACGCGTGAAGGAGACTTGCAGGAGCTTTCAAAACCACCGAGTGAACCGTTATTGTATGACAGCCTCCCCATAAGCTGGGCATGCCACTGTGCTCATGAACAGCATGCCCCTATTGCTCGCCTAACCTAGCCACTGCGCTAGAAATAGTGCTACATCCATGCTACACCATCATTTGCGCGGCATTTGTATGTGGGGTTTTCTTGGGTCGATTACACGCTGTACCGGAAAAGGTAGGTGCTTTCGCGTCGTGGGCAAGGTCGCGTAACGTTCGGCGGAGCATGCGCTGCTAGTGTACGTGGGGATGGAAGTCTGGAAGGATCTAAAGTCGGCTTTTGAGATCCTGTTAGCTTTTTTCAGGAAGGGAGCGCAATACGGAGACAAACGTGGTGGGTACCTACCTAGGTATAAAGGAGGGATTCACCCGCCCCGAGACTTGACAGCTCGAGCCTTACAGACCTCGGGAGCGTTCCGCACTGAGACTGAGATTTCCGGCACAGTAGTCGTTCGTTGCTTTGCTTTGGTGCTAATCGAAAATATGGAAGAGTCTTTCCAACCATTACAGACGCTGGGGGAGGTATGTGCTTGAGCCAGCGTGGCGAGAAGCAGTGCTTAGTACGAGAATGATGTTCAAAAAGCCTAGCAAAAAAAGAGATAGAAATTAAGAAGAGGTGTACGGGAGGTGATGGGGGTCTGAGAGTTCAGAGGCGGACTGCTGGGAGACCAGAACGCACTGGCGCTGTGTGCCAAGGCTGCCCAGGTGAGGGACTTCGGCACGACGGGCAAGATCCGCGCGACACGATGAACTTATCACTATTCTGGCTTTGCAGGAAATATTATCCAGTCGATCTATGAGCTGTTGGAGTCGAAGACTGATTGCTGCTCACAGGAAATGCGATGGTAATCGGATTAGTATAAGGGTGCGAAGTCTGGCACCTTCACGCATGATGCAATACCACCAAGCGACGTTGAGACGCCCGTTTTGGCTTGCTCATTCAGCATCTGATTGCAACACCCTCATGAGTGCTATGTACCGCGCGCAGCCCCTACACCAGTAATTCAACAGCGGTACCTATGACACCGGGGACTTCGTCGTAGTCCCAGTACTTCAGCATCACACTCTGCTGGAGACTTTGTTGGTGGATCTTCTCACTATTTGTAGTCATTAGGCAGCAAGGACTATCGAGTTTATTCGAGGCTACAATGCGCGAGCTGGCTGCGGGACGAGTATGAGCAGCAATCAGCTGCAACCATGCTAGGCCTTACGCCTTTCCCTGCTATCCACATAGCCAGCCAAATGCTTTCTGCTCCAGTTTCAACACAGCAATAACTGCGTATACACTCGTCCATACGCAGCTTTCATCTTAGCGTCGCAGTGTACGCCCTCTCTCTAGCAACCAACCGATGCCCAGGTGTGCGGTTGAGATAAGCATTCGGGGCAGTTTGTAATAAAAGAACGGTCGATGGACAGACGCGCCGATGCGGGGCGCATGTAGGGCGAACAGGAGGGTGGTATGCTGTTGCAATTGGTACGCTTGCACTCGGCAGTGTGATGCACCTAGCGTCAAGGGTTTGATACGGTCGGAGAAGGGTAGCCCTAGATATTACTTTTGTGAGCAAGCCACATGTGAAGCCACAAGGCTATCAAATGTCCCAAAACGTCTCACAGTGTGTATTCGTGTCGTCCTGCATTCATCCCGTTGTAGCCTCATGCGTCGGGTTCTGGAGACCCTATAGCAATGGCATTTGAAGACCGCGTCAGGGGTCTTGTTACAGCGCACAAGTATAATGATTCGCAGGTACCTTGGACAAGATGTCAGATATGCTCATCTCTAAGTGTCATGTGTGATGGATGCGTCCAGCTGCATCTCTTCACGCCTTCACAGAATTGCTGGGTGGTTGCGAGAAGGCGCGCGGATAACCACTGAGAAAATGCAGATTTGTTCCAGTACCATTGGTGGAAAGCTCGCTTGCTCGTATGTCGAAAGCAGCAAATCCCTGAAGGTAGGCAGAAGCGCGGTTCGGTAGACTGAAGCGAGCTCAGTATTCGCGCTTTCGATGGGCGGGTTTCTTCAATCGATGGGTCGTCTTAGTCTGCATGCACTGGAGATGTATGAGCTACGTCTTGAACGAGCTGTCAACGAACGAGGTGATCAAGCTGACGAGTATGGATGAGTGTGTACTTACATTGTAGTTTTGGAGTATGGGTTTTCGTGAGCATGAAGATTCCAGGTACTTCAGATGATTGAGAATGAGAGAGACAAAGCCAGCAGTTCGACGGGAAAAAGAATGGAAACAGAGTCGCGTGTAGGATTCTTGGAGGCTGAGCCAAGCAGTGGTGCGTGTTGAGGCCACCCTGCCGCCGACAGGGCGGCGTTATCCCCCGGTGGGCGTCACGTTGGTATCCGGCATCGGTGCCTAGTCGCTTTCAACTTGTAAGTCAGACGCATGTCGTCGCTGTTTTGTCTAGCCAAAAGGTCAACAGTATTCGAAAGCATAAGCAGAATATGGCCCGCAGCGAGGTTTGTTGAACTCAGCTCCGTATCACGTTCTTCAACGGCCGCCGTTAGAGACTACTCGAGTGAAGGCAACATCGCGCGCACCAAACAACCATGAACCATTCAGAAAAGATCTGCGCTATGCATGCTGAAGTATTGGTCAGGTCAGGTGCTAGTTGTTTCATCTCCACATGTTGTGTGGAAATGTTTACCGTGAGGCTGATGCACTGGCTCACGGTACTCTCTGGGGATCGTCCTGACGCCACAAGGCCGTGCTCGGAGTCCTCCGCCTGCAGCGTCCAGGAGACTCGACCTTGGCTTGCATACCACTCTTGTCCGGGGGTTAACATGAAGCATGATACGTTTGCGACAGACGTGTTGGAGAAGACAGGCTCACAACAAGAAATTTCGCCTATGGCACCCAAAGCACAGGCTAACGCCGTCTGGAAACCCAGTATGCGCAAGAAAACACGGGGTTTGCGAAATAATTAGTACACCGGGCCGTTACCTCTCTGCCCAGAGAATGAACCAAACAGACCAAACGCCTGTGCGCGCATCCAAGCTACGGTTGTGCTTGCCGACCTTCTCTTTCTAATTCCGCCTACGGATTGGATACTCAATGCTCGCTTCTGTTTGTTCATAACGGTTACTACTTGGCCAAATCATGATGCCCAGTGTGCGTCGTGCATCCCAGCAGTCGCATGATGACTTCATGAAAGTCATGCGGTTCTAGACGGTGCAGAAGAGATGCCCAGTCAAGACAAAGTGAGTGAGGAGCGTGAGTAACACTAAAAACTGCAGACAACAGGAGCCTAAGCACATCGG